AAACGGTGTAATCATTGAAAGTTGACTTGTGGAACACAAATTTATTAAGCTATAACAAAATCAAACGGATATTTCGATAGCTCCTGCTATCTTTATCAACGTTAAAGTGAGAAAACTTTGACTCAAATTCAACCCTGGCCATCGGGTGCAGGCTCGGTGGTCTAGAGGTATGATGTGATACAGAGATCGTGGGTTCGAATCCCACCCGAGAACAACTTGCGACTTTTATTATTATTATTATTATTATTATTATTATTATTATTTATTTATTTATTTATTTATTTCATCAGACCAACAGCGAATCATCGCCACTAACAGGCTGGTAAAATATATAAAATTTAAATACAGTATATCAAATATATAGACGAAAGAGTACAAAAAACTCACCTATTCAAATGATTAATAATAATAGAACGAAATATAGACAAACTATTGTGAAAAATGTCAATATTAGAGGTTGAAATATGAGAATTATATTGAAGAGAAAGTCTAGAAATAAAATTACGTTTACATACCTCAACTCTACAAAAGGGACATTAAAGGTAGGACAGGAACGAAGGCTTCTAGAATTAACATGCAAACCAAACAGATGTACAAGATCACAACTAAAGTACGAGTTAACACATTTATAGAGAAAAACCATATTGTGAAATAAAAATCTATTCCTAGGACACATTAATTTACAAGGACGATTAAAACATTTTTCAAAAAACCTAATAAACTTAAGATGCATCCTATCGATGCGAATTAACTGAGATATAAATAACATAATAATGAGGTTCATAATTATCATTCATGAAACACTTGTTTATTTTAACACAATACAGTGGTTGCTCAGTAGAAGTATGTCATCTAAAAGTCAAAATGAAGGATACATTTATAATCTACTTTGTTTATTGTTCTTACAGGAACAAATTATTCCAGGCAATTGACAGAAAAGACTGGCAAGCAGTAAGAAGGATCTGTGAAACTGAGGAACATCTCATAAACACGTATGATGATGATGCTTTGGTATGTACTCAGAAATGAATTATTAACCATGATTTTGTGCTCTATAAATAAAGTTTGAACTTGGTAAATTATTTTACTTTATTCATTAGATGATGTTAAAGTCCACCCTGATAATTGTCCACAATCTCCCTCAATTTGCACATAAATTATGTAGGTTACTTACGATTGTGTAATTAGTATACATAAAGATAAATCACTGGTATTAATTTAGAAGCTATAATGTTGAATTAGAATATAAATGGTGATTTTTCCTTATTCAAATGTCGTGTAATAATCGTAAACTTCAGTTCTCCATTTGACCATTTTTGGGTCTGTGGTTTCTATGGTCTTTAGCAGCTTTGGTCTCTAAAATAATAAAGATAAAATACATTAGTTAATATGGGATCACAGGGAAGTAGTAGAGGTGGTGTTTAATTGGAGGGGTCTATAATTTAGAGGGAGACCTGTATATAATTATATTTTCAAATGTATGCGCGATATTATTCAAACGCGAGTCGTCGCGAGTTCCCTGAAAATTAAATAAATCGGTATGCCGCCCTCTATAGTTTAGGGAATTTTGTAACACGAAGAACTGTAAAATAAACCAGTTGCTGACAGTAAATACATTCTCAATAAAGATGGCATATTGGTTTTAAATGTTATGTCATCTGCATATTGTGTATAGCAATATACTTAGTGGTTAATTACTCAACTTAGGTCTATTTTTCTATCAGTTGTCTAAATATTGTCCCAACTGATAACAAACCGCTGTTAGCTGGGCTGTACTTCCGAATGTAATAAGACAAAAACTATTTACAACATAAAAATACAAAACCTATACATTAAAATATATATAAATATTATAACGTATACTTAATGAATAACAAATCAAATTTCAGAACAATTTATGAACAGACATGGTGTACGTTTAAATGCAATGTTTTTTTAAAATTATATTACGGTACGGTAATAGTCATTCCGTTCACACACCATCAGCAATATCGAAGCCTCTGACGCTTTGTTGTCATTATTTAATAATATTTTAAAGTTAAATAACGATATCAAATGTTCACCGGCGCATTTTTTATTCATTTACTTTATTTAATTTTTTTTTTTTTTTGGCAAAAATGCACACAAACGTGGACACGGGAATAAGCCCACCTCCCTTTTTTGTAATGTAATTATAAGACATAAAAGCAATTTGCAACATACTAATATACCGTACTACCTTTTAATTATAATAGGTATACAAAATACACATATAATAATAATAATAATAATAATAATAATAATAATAATAATAATAATAATAATAATAATAATAATAATAATAATAATAATATGTAATTGATAATAAATAATTATTCAAATAACAGAAATAGTATAAAATCATACACCAACAGTTAAAAACAAATTTGTTAGCAGTGGTTAAATTTTAACCTTTGATTCTGTTTTATGGGACATTATATTGTCCTAACCATTTTTGTTTTACAATAGTAGTCGAATACAAACGTTTACTGTATACATGGAGGAATGAGTTTAGTCTAAACTAATTCCTCCTTGCTGTATAATAGCTCTGGTCGCGATCTACAAGCGCGACGGTTACGATTACCTGACAAGTAAATAAACCGGTCTGCCGCCCTCAGTCAATTTGTTTAAACCATAGCGTTACAGCTCTATGGTTTAAACCTGAAAATGTTATAATATCCTCTTGCACTTAATTAAACTGAACACGTTATTTGTTATATTACTATATTTGTATGTACTATATTATATTATACGTTAATTACTTAATGTACGTTAATTAGGCCTTTTTCCTCTATTGTTTATTTCTAGTGATTTAAATAAAAATGTCTCAACTGATAAACATTAGGCTCTTTTGAATGTAGGGGTTTAAACGACTACCGCATAACCTTGAATAGAAGCCCAATGCGGCTTAATCTAGAGAGGCCTATCTCAAATTAAAGCCTCTTTCTTAGTTTACAAAAATAGCCTCGAAAAAAATGCCCTTCTCGAAAGGAATATAATTTTCAAGATAGCATGGGCTTTTTTTTCGAGATACATACACTGTGATTTCAAAGCCCCGTCTTTTACGTTTTTTTTTTTTTATTTACTTTGCAAACGTAGCCAAGAAAAGAAACGCATCCACAGTTGGCAAAAATTTAATTATTTATAAACTTCTTTAAGGAATGCTTTATATTGCAAATGTAAATATCCATAGGAGCATAACATAAATAAACACATAGGCCTTCAGTAAATTTGAGCAGAAATAAATTGCTGAATACTGCATTTTATTAAGCCTAAGCATTCGTTCATGGGAGTGTATACATTGTATAATGATGTAAAAATTATCGTCGAATAATATAATAATAATAATAATAATAATAATAATAATAATAATAATAATAATAATAATAATAGTTAAATTAAACACAGATATGGCATGTGATATCAGTGGTATTAATTTGTGTTAATACATTTAAAATTATAATAGGCCTAGTATATCGTCGTGTACAAGATATTAAGTATTGTCAAATGTATTTAATTTTTATCATGTAGGCCTATGTATATGATTAAAATTCCTAACAATATGAATAGGCCTAATTGTACAAGATATTTGAACACTATTTTGATTTATCATATTTTATATTATTGATTCTATTTTGATAAATATAAAATCAATTATATATAATGTTTTGTTTTATTTCTACTGTAATGGAATGTCATCCTGCAATAAAATTATAGAAGCCATAGACCTAGTTCCGAAAAAATGTAAATTTTGGATTTAAATATCAATAATAGGAAATCCTGGCTTATGAACTCGGACTGAAAAAATTAATTTAATGTTCAACAATAAGAAAACGCACGCGATAAAATAAGTAAATAATTTAATATTTTTTACTGTTTTAATTTTGTTTATTATATTTATTTTCATTTGTTACTACCATCGTGTATTGAGTATCCAGTATGATTGTTTGTTTCCGTAGTTTCGGACGCCGTTACTGTACGCTGCACACTACGAAGCACCCGAAGACATAATGCTGACAATGATTGCGAAAGCTTCAGTGGAAAATTTAGAACACAAGGTTAATGGAATTAAAAATCATTGTATTCTATACAAACTAAACACACATCATTTATAAATCAATAAACAAGGGAACATTAAACTTAAAGTAGACTACGGTGATATACTGTATATTTTTAACTAAGCATATTATTTTTATTTCATGATTTTTAAAACATTGAAAAGCCTTTGTTATGGAAATGATCTAAATATTATAAACATAAAAAAAATGTTTGCAGTAACAGATAATAATCATGTTTGGAGTTATATTGATCATTCCTGTTTACTTGATATATTTTTACACAAAAAGTTATATCGCTAAAATTTTCATTTTAAAGATAATTGATTAATGTGTGTAAAACATAACCATTTTGATTTCAACATTATTTGCGTGATTTTAATAGAAAAACGTAATTTAAAAGACATTGAATTCAGTTCCCATTATCTAATAACGATAAATGTGATAAGCAAAGTAATTGTGATGTTTCTGAGTTGTTTTTTGTATTATTTTGTTATCATACTCTACTTTACTCTTTTAGGGTGTTGATATTACTTTTCTCCATTTCTTGGCGTCAAACGCTCGCGTTACTCAACTGAGAAGCGCGTTAGAAAGAACGAAGAACGCTAACGTGACAGACATCGTGAGTACAGTAAAAGAAAACAACACTTTATTCACTGTAAACAAATTAACATCATTGAATTCACTAACAAACACATTCAAAGCATCACATTCTAATCTAGTAACATTCTTATTCATGTAGTAAAACAAAATAAATTAATTAGAACTGATATTCTTAGTCCCATTATTATTACCATCATCATCGTCATTATCATCATTTTACCAATTATAGCATTGGCTTTATAAATAATATTAATATTGTATCTGTATTTTTCATTATCACTGTTAATATAATTATTATTATTATTAGTAATATTATTGATATCATTATCATATTATATTACACATAATCGTCCATATTATTCTTACAATGCGGTCTCTTATACACATCTAGATGTGTATAAGAGACAGGTATATCGTCGTGAAACGAAAGCGCAAGGGGAAAGCTGAACTCGGAGCAATTTAGCGAAGCATTCAGAATTCGCGGGGTGCGTTATTTGTGAGTGAAGCGAGCAACTAGGCTGGGGCTAGGGGGCCGCAAAAGGAGAAAAATTTACGTTTTTACGTTCTAGTGCATTAAGTTCAATACCAAGTCAAAATAGGTCTAATTGTAAACGTAGTATTTGGGCAACACCAGACTATATTCACTCAATATACCACCAGCCTATTGGATTGCGGCCTGTGAGCATCGTGGGATCGTCCCACTTTTAATTTAAAAGAAAAAAGTTATAAATGTCTATACTGTATTGAAAAATAAAAAATGATATAGGGAACATATAATTACTTAAAGTAACATTTTGTATGCTTTTATTTCTTAACGTTTTCCTTTCAATTTTATATTTTAATATATTATTTAACTTAGTTTTTGTTCATTGTTTTCTTTCAATTTTATATTTTAATATATTTCTTTAACTTTGTTTTTCTTCATCGTTTTTCTCAATAACTAATACTTAAACTACGCTTTAAATACTAAGGTTATTTAACTAATACCTAATATTTACATAAAAAAAATAAGTAGCTCTTTATTTAAAGATCAAATTGTTATCATTAATTTTCCGTGGGTATAATGTAAAGAAGAGTTTTGATGCTTCCTCATAGTTTACGTCTATATTTCTGTGTATGTTCATTATCGCCAAGGCGCTAAGACGTTCAGATTTCATACTGGACCTTAACCATGTTCTCAATCTTCTCATTGCTGAAAAACTACGCTCACACTCTGCTAATGGCCTTTGCCAGACTCGATGGACGATTTTCTTCTGTTACTTCCAACCACTTTCTTTTCCACAGTTGTAACTCCAAATCAATGATGTCAGGGTTGGGCAAGTCTTCCGAGTACTGCTCTATTAAATCAGCAATATCTAAATTTTTGTAATCTGGATGGCAAATAATTGATGGTACAAGTAGAAGGAGTTTTGACGCTCTATATTTTCCCTCAAATGTTGCATGTCTTTCATACAATCTTTCACTTCATTGTAAGCCTTTACAACATCAACTGATCTGCCTTACAGGCTCTGTGTAATACCAACAAGCGGATGAAGCAGCCTGTATAACAATAATGGCAGAGTGCAATGATGCGTAACCAATACACCACATAACACAACTGGCGCGCGGGCTTCGAGATATCAAGTTGATTAAAAATGTATAACTTTATATGGATTGTTTAAAACTAGACAAAAAATCAAAATATTAAAAGGAAGGGCCACCAAACATTTTTTAGGCGAAGGATAATTTATTTTGATATTAACTACCTTCATGTTAGGCGCAGTTTAATTATGCTAGATTAAAAAAAAAATCATATTTAAAGGGCACTTTCTTTAAAAGGGGGGTCGACCGCACCCATCGACCCCCC